TCATGTTCACATACTTATAATTCACGTTGACATGATCATCTTACATGTCGACATGCACATGTATTTTAGTTGCAAATTAAATAAGTATATGTGGCATAGCTATAAAGCATGTTAATCTTATATATTATCGTACATATTGAATTAATTAAGTTGATTTTTTTTTTAAAGATTAAATTCCACGTCACTTTATTTTTTTTTAATGTGTTTTATTTTTTTTCTTGGGGGGGGGGGAGGGTAGAGGGGTTCATATCGCGATTTTATTATGTTACGTTGCATATATTAACATTATAAAACTAACTTGCTGACTTAATTTGCATGGTGAAATAATTATCCTGCAATTTTACATAATTTACAGAAAATTCACTTTCATACAGTGGGCAGTAGTAAGCGCCATAGGTTTGTAATTTAATTTTTTCATGTATCACATATGACAAGAAGATGTCGTTCTTTCTACATCCATCTGTTTTCGAATGTTGGTCATTCTGCCATTCTGAGCCACCACGGGCTAAATTCCCCCTCCCTTTAATTGGCAGTGCTGGTTCAAGTGTATCCCCGCGGGAGGTGCCCGGACCTTTCACGTGGTGTCTGTCATTACGAACCACAGGGTCCCCGCCCACTTTCTTGTTTTGCCTCCCCTTTCCAATGTGTGCAATTGCTCAGAAATCTGCGTCAACTCTAATTGCCGCTTATTAAGAGAGGGGGTTAAATATCTGTGACCTTGCTTTGCTTTATTGCTTTCTTCCTCGTTTGTATTTTTGAAGAGTTTGTGAAGATTAAATTTTTCGCCAATCGGAAACCCTCGAGGTATCTGTAAAATATATGAATTAAATGCCTTTCTTTTTTTATATAGAATTGATCTAAAACATCTAAAAAAGAAACATATACAATAGGAAGGTGGATTATAATGACACTTAATATTAATAAATATAATTTATGTTAGTTTTGAGAGTGTCGATTCTGACTTTTTTTTGCATTTCTGTGGGTTTTTCAGTCACCTCAGTCACTCAAGTGACCTATTGCTATCCGTTTTCGTCCGCGTTCGTGCGTCGTCCGTCTTCTGTCGTCAATCGCCCGTTAATCTTTGAACATTTTCAGCCTTTTCTCTGGAATGGCCAATTTTAATCAATTTTTGCATATAGCATCTATGGGCAAAGGGATACAAAAATTATGAATTTCATAGTCTCTGTCCCCTGGAGGGGCCGGGGGGGGGGGGCGATCAAAAACCATCAAAATTAATGCAGTCTTTTATAATCCAAGCAGTCTAATTGTTGGCATGATTATAATAAGTATAATGAGTCTCATGGTCCCAGGGTCAGGGGTTCTGGTGCTAGGGTGGGCTCTACTGATCATATAGTGAAAATACCTCTCCCCCTGTATACAAAATAAGTACATGTTTATGATCATCAAGAGTGTTCTCTTACAACATTGTTCAATTCATGGCCTCATGATCAAGGGATCTGGTTTAGAGCGGGGCTCTATTGATCATAGTGAAAATACATAAATTCCTTGAAAATATTCTTTAGCAACCAATCGGAGTGCATGGCTATGATGAGCAAGGGTGTCTTTTCTTAAATTGTACATGGTCCCAGGGTTAGGGGTTTAGGTGCTAGGGCGGGGCTCTATTAATCATATAGTGGAAATACATAAATTCTTTAAAACATTTTCTGTTCCCAGGCATTTAGGAGGCAAAAAGTACAAAAGTGGTAATGAGGAAGGTTGTTTTTACCAGATTTTTTTTAAAAAATTTTGTTCTCGTGTAGAGAAATTTGTACTCTACTTTGAGAGAAGCTATTCCCCCTTTTTATTCACGCTTGATAATTAATCACTGTAAAAATTATAATTTTTAATATAAAATAATTCATATATTTATGAAATAAAAGAAGTATACAAGAATATTTTATGTATATAATACAAAAAGTACTTCTATATAGTTTTTTAATGGTCAAGCAGACTTTAGTATAATGTATACTAGTAATCGATAAACAAAAATGAGATAATAACATTTCAACGATCAAAAGAAGCCCTACATTGAGTGAAATATGTTACGCGCAAGCGCTACTGTGTCGGTAAATTTGGGGATAGTGACAAATGTGTACGAAGGTGGTTATATGTATAGCACATGTAAATAAATAGATCTACTTTATGAGTTGTTGCGGATTACTAGACTTACTATTTTGTTGATCCCTGGTCCTCCTTTCTTCAACTTTATTTTGTTTTATCATATAGTTATTAAATCGCCATTCTTTGGACCTTTTGTAGGGTTGTATTATACTAAAGGTAACCGTTAAGGGCCTTGGGTCTTTTGTTTTTTGTTTTTTTTTTTTAAAATTTACATGTGAGTACATTCACTTAGATCTCGTATGTTTACTTAAAATAACTGTTATATATTTATTGAATAGTAAATTGAAAGTGTGTATCCATCGTTATAAAATATTCTTTTTTCGGAGTAGATACAAAAAATGATTGTCAAGATTTTTAAGCAAAGAATAAGTCGGTTTGTTCTAGTTGTGAATCTCAAAAGACTTTTGCAGTCTTTTCAGCGACAATACCACATTCAATCGGTGGTCTAAATTGCAAATCGAACCAAATTAGCAGAGCAGTACTAGTTTTACCAAAATAAAGGTAACATCTTCCTAATTTGTTCAGATTTCAATTGGCTGTGATTATTTATTTATTTATTTATTATTATGGCAAAACAGGTCAGACTCCGGGGGTCATTAAACTAAACTCACTTTTGATCTCAGTTTCACTTTTACCCAAGGAATATGTAGTGGAAAAGTGAGAATGAGATTAAAAGTGAACTCATACGAGTTTTATGGCCCAGGGGTCCGGTCGCACAGAGTTAAATCTTTCCTACAACGATTTTTTTTTAAATAAAATTTCGCTTCATCTGGACCTGTTACACCTATTTGTATTTCCTACTAGATCTCAGAGAACGATGGTGCATGTTTTTTAAATTATTATTATAAACTTTTCTGTGATATTATCTTTATGCCGCTTAAATTCATCTGAAAAATACGATTTTTTTTAATTTTCTTTCTTTTTTAATTCGTACCCATAAGCAACAAAACTGTAGGTGGTTAGGTAAGGCAATGTTTAAGGATCTCAAAAAAAAAAAAAAAAAGAAAAGAAAGACACAAGTAATGTACAAAGTAAGTACATGTTGTATTCCACCCCATTCCTTAATACAGTATACTGTCTTGTTTATGCTCCACACTGAGGGTAAACAACTAATCGGTACACAAGTATTTCGTCTCTCTTTCATTTTAATTACAAATCGTTTCGTGATTTGGAAAACTTCAATACTAATTTCATATCCTCTTTAAAGCTATATATGGCGTATCTGGGCTAAAAAATAAAAATACGAGATTGAGTGTACATAAACATGATATACGTAATTTACGTTCAAATTAAAATTTTCACCGATTTTGAACTTGGATAACCTCATGTTTCCATAGTTAAATTGATTTTAAATTGTGTCTTTTAATTAAGTGCGGAGTCGGTAAATAAATCGGATATTGTTTTAAATTTCTAATATCTTTGAAACGTGATTGATTTAAATTGTGTAATTTACAGGAAAGTCCTATCTTTATATAAAGTAATAAAACAAATAGAAAGATATTTTTAATTTTACTTAGTTTGAACTTTTAAAAAAATACGCCATATATGACTTTAAAAAGTAAACAACGTTACATAATATGTATTGTCTATTAAAAAATAATTCTCCTTATCATTCAATTGATGTCGTCCTAAATGGATAAAACTTTTAGTTTTAAAGAACATTAAACTTTTGCCTCACACATCACGATCCTGGAGAGGGGGTTAAACATTACCAAGGTGTTATTTTTATAAAGTATAGATGCTGATAAGAGACTGGGAGACTGTTTTTTATTTCATATTTATTTAGATGTCAGGGTCCCGTCCTATTGGATGATTTCATATAAACAGAAATATTGATCCCTTGTTTGATAGTCAAAGGCATAAAAATCTTGTTTCTAAATATGACGTACATGTACATGTATATTGCATTCTTGAATTTACTCATTAAAAATATAAACTGCCCTAAGTAAGTTTATTGCTATTTTCAAGTAAATTCAAGAATTTAAAAATTACAAATGAAGGGATGAATTAAATATGGAATAGACACTGTATTCTTTAAATTTGTTAAAATAATTTTTTTTAAAAATATATAATTTAAGGCCTATCTTCATCAAAAAAATATTTAAAATCTGATTTTTTGAGTCCTTTACTTTACGAAAGGAAAAATTAAAAACCCACCGTAATCCTCCCCGATAAAAAAACAAAAACTTCCACTGACTAATTCGTCTAACTGATTGATAAATTTTAATTATTGAGTAAATAACAAATTTTACAAAAATAAATCAGTCGTAAAAATGAAATTTTAGACACCTCGAATAATTCTGAATTGAAAATAAGGATATTAGACACAAAGGAAATAGACTACGATATTCAAATAACGACCAAAAACTTACACAGGTTTATCAATTTTTTTTTAAAGGTATTTGGCACATTAAATTTAAGTAATATTTCCGATTTAATTTTACTAAGAATCTTTGAAAGGGATTAGACAAAAGTCTCACTAGAAATTAGTTGGAAAGCATCAATTTTAAGAATTTATTCAAGTTGTAAATCAAAGACCTGTGATATTTCTCAAGTTATACTTTAAATATATACTTGTAATAATATCCAGGAAACATATTCCCCTAACAAATGTACTCCTCTGTCAGGTCAAAATTTTCACATTTCTTATGCAAAATTTTTGTCATTTTGCATAAGAAATATCAAAATTTTTGTGAAGGACATCTCTACATGATGTTTTACAAAGAATCAATGTACACTTACATCGTCTCCTGAAATTCATTATGAGTTAGCACTATACACAGTCTTTTTGTAATCGGTCAAATCACTAAACGTATATGCACAATATCAATGAAATATGCTATTATGTCCGGTGATTTAAGCACGATAGCTGAGTTAATTTATATAGGTGGTTGAAGCATATGTCTTTGTGACGCTGATTGCAACATGGGAGCTGAAGGTCGAAAACTAGAAGATGTCGATGTTCTGCAAGAACAGAGGAGAGAACAAGTGGACAAATGTGGAGGCACAGAATGTCTTAGACTGGGTCCAAATGACGGAGAGTAGCCGCTAGGTATGGAAAGAGGATAGGCGGTAGGTCCACAGAGTGAGGTCCCGGATGTATGAAGGTACGGTAACGGTACAGTTGTGTTGGAATGACGCTGGTTCGAAGCCGCCGAACGGTAGATTTCATCCAGCAAACGTTTCATTTCGTCCACTGATTTAGTCAGAGTTTGGATGTAGTTCCTGGCGAGAGTTAATGTGGCAATTTTAGATAGTTTACGTACAGATGGTCCTTTGGCGTACGGCATAACTTCACGTAAATTATCCATAGCCAAATTAAGGTCGTGCATCCTCTTCCGCTCTCGGCTATTTATCTTGGCCCGTAACTCTGTAATTTCTTCAGGGTCTAGTCCTCGCAGAGTGTAGCTTGTTTTACGTTTTCTGGGCGTTGATTTTAGTTTTTTATCATCATCCTTTTGGTACTCCTCTTCATCATTCATAATATCTACAAACTCTGTACGTTCATCTTCTGAATCGGACATTTTTCTGATTAATTCTCTAAATTAATTTCTCTTTCTCCACAAACCTCAGTGGTCACGATCAGCAATACATCAAGTTTTCCTAATCTTGATCTTGTTTACAGACATATAGTTTTCTTTTTATCATCTTCGGCTCTGCGTTTCAAAAATGGGCGTGACTTTTCGGTGGAAGAGCGGCACTGGGTTGATTTGTTCAAGAGGACCGACTTATCACGCCCCGCTACAAAAGGCGTTAACGGGGCTTTTTCAATATGCCTAATTTAGAGTCCATTTGTCGGGCGGTTTCGCACCTCTCCCGTTTACTGGTGGTCAACGTTAAATGGTCAAGTAGATCAAACGACACGACTTCTGATGTCGTAAAAAAGTTTAAAGTTACTTCGATAAATTGTGAGAGATTTTGTTAACAATGTGATACGTAAAGTGGCTTTATAAAGTTGATTAAGAGTTTAGTTATTTTTGTTTGCTTTACGGATTAGCGGAAAGATGAGTACCGTTTAAAGGATTAAATTTATTGCGTTTGTCTGTCTGAGAGTTTTAAAAATTCAAAGAAATCAAGCAAAATTCGACGATAAATGAAAGTCTACATAACTTTCTACAAAGGAGTATACAGAAATGGTATCACTATAGAAGCACTCAAGCAGAATCTCAAAATAATTTGCTAAAATACGTTACTTTTTTTATTTTATTATTTATTTATTTTTTATTTTTTTTTTTACAAACAATTATCTTTAAATGGTTATGTCCCTTCATATTGGGCAAAGCTTTCTTCAGGCCCAACAAATTTGTAAATGTTTTATACAAACATATATGTTTAAACAGTACTGTGATGGAAACTTAACAAACCCATGGTTATATTGCATACAGAAAATATGTAATATGTGTGGTTTATCAAATGTATGGTACGGACAGGGTGTCGATATGAATTATAAATGGATAACTGCTACTGTGAAATAAATATTACAAGATCAACTTATACGAAAGTGGTCTAGTGACGTAAATAATTCTTCAAAAGGACAGATTTACAGAATCTTTAAACAAAACTTTGGATCTGAACATTATATTGATCAGTTATCTCCTATAAATTTAGAAAAATATTTATAAAATTTCGAACTGCAAATCATCATTTGCCAGTAGAGACTGGAAGATGGTATGGTATAGCACTGTGTGATAGAATCTGTACACTTTGTAATAATACTCAAACTGCTGATGAATTTCATTATATCTTAGAATGTAAAACTTTAGCCATGTAAGAAAAAATTACCTGGGCAATTATTATTCCCACAGACTGAATGTTATTAAATTCATGGAACTAATGTCAACTAAAAACGAAAAAATGCTGAAAAAACTATGTATGTTTATCCTAAAAATTTATGCTGCTGTCTGTCCTCCTTGACATATTTTTCCCTCTCTTATTTATTTTCTTTTTCAATCATCTGTCATGTTTTTTGTTTTGTATATGTACCTCTGACCAGTTTGTATATAATGTATATATGTTATTAATGAACCCCGTGTACCAATATTTTGGTTTGGGTGAATAAATTGAACCTTACATATAATCATTTAACTCCCCGCATTTTCCTGCGTATTATTTTTTAAACCTGTATACAATAATACATGTACTTACTATTGATTTAATTAAGAAAAGATAAAAACGCATTTTAAACATCACTAATTTTGTAATAACCAGAAATAAAACGTCTGTTGTTAGAAATGACATCTTAAAGGGATTGAAATTCAATTAAAATTGCATTCTTCGGTGCTATTTCCTGGTAAATGACACTGTAAAGAGAGTACAACAAATTATCCCTCTAATTAAAAACGTTGTGATACTTAAATGAATTAATTTGTTAAAGCTTTTTTGCGGTGATCACTTTCCTTGCCCAAGTCCGTTCCCTAATTAGTTAATACAGTGACAAATTCTATTTGGACAACATCTTGAGGATTCTGTTTGCTACATAATGTGTAAAATGTGGCACTGGTGTCCCTCCCACCTGTTCCATTGTGGGGAAAATTACATCTCCCACATGTGTACCCCAAAATAACGCCAAGACCATTGTCCATGGTTTGGTGGTACTTAATTCTCCCCAGGGACTCCAAGGCACCACAACAGAATAACAGTGTAGTTAGGAGCGCGGACCTCTACCCTCAGGGCAGTCGGTGTCCACTACAGCTTATGGGCGTTCCCTGGTCCTCCTTGTAAACGAATTCCCCACACAAGTGTACAAAATCCTCTAAATCTGCTGAAATACTGGTCAATTGATGGTTAATGAGGCTTCCCAGATCAGTGTAGCCTCAAGTCAACTATTGGTGTAGAGGATATTTTGATTAGCATAAAAAATCAAGAGTGATATACAACTTAAATTTTACTACACATTGTAAAAAACAAAACTCAATCATGTTAGGAAATAACGTTTTACAAAATTAACCAGTAAAATAAGTTGAATCATGAACTCACTGTATGCATAACAAATATAATCAACAAAATATGTAGTTGGCAATTTTATAGGTAGATAGCGCATGGTCTCTATTTCAAAGAAATATCATCAACAATGACTAATCATACATGTGGTAATCAGTATAAAATAAAATATCCCCATTCTCTCAGACACTGAGATTCAAAACGAAGCTTAATATTTTAACCTTATATGCTTGATAGTTTATATGTACGCAAATAGTATCTACGCAGAACAGAGTAACACAAGGTGTATTGATAAATAGTGGTGCAATAATTCTTGTAAAAGCGCTGATCAGGTGTTGATAGAAAGCATTAAAAAGACATCTCTGAAAACTGGAACCCACTTTGTATGATTTGATTCTGATCTGCAAGAAAGTACAAATCCAACGCTCCACAGATTTTATCATTAAAATACTGGGGATTTTTAAATAAACATCAGTTGCATTATTTCGCAAGAAGTGCCACTCATGAAATTTTATTACTCATTTTTATTTCTTTATTACTGAAATATGTGTAAAAGCCCTTCATAAACAGTCCATTCATGAATTCATGTTCTCCTGAAATGACGTCTAAGAGCCAGTCCCTATATTAAATATTCACATACAATAATGAATGTACAGAACTGACTGCATTTTGTGGAATTTCAGTATCAGTGGATTTGATACTCAATGAAAAAAATACAGGTTTTCTGCAGAAGTGTTGTAAAAATTTGAATTTACACATCATACAAAATCTTAATTTAATGTGAATCAGTTTCTGCCAAGTCTCAATGATTTTAAAAAGTGTTTGTTCACTTATTGCACAGTATTGCACGGACATTTTACGGTACATCAACAATGTACAAGTACTTAGTGTTTACATTTGTTATAAGGTAAATGCAAAGCAGCATATATGTGTGTATAATTCACAACAGAGTTGATCATAAATATTCATAATATAACATTTTTTTTATATATATGAATCAAGAAAGATTGGACATATGTATGAAGATGGCAAATAACGCAATAACATACAAAAAGTGTGACATATTTTGGCACCACTACTGACTTCCACACAATCAACACATATACTAGTTTCTACTGGGGTAAGCAGCTTTCTTGTGCAGTAATACAGAGTTGCTGCAGTCTCCCTGCCTGGGCCTCTGTGCTGGAAAAATATTCTCATCCCCATAGATCCTCTGTTCTTCCAAATTTGAAGATCAAAGAACTGAAAACATTAAAATTGACTTAAAATAGGATGATTTTATTAATCTAAGATTTTAGGGCTTAATTGACTTAGGAGCAGGGTTCTGTACCTTTCAATGATTGGGAATTTTAAAAGGAAAAAGTACAAAATTTGGAAATATTGATTAATTATATTTGTGTGATTGTAATTGTATGCTTATTCTCCACTCACATCTTTATGAATCATTATAATTTTAAAATCTTCTTTTTATATATATAAAAAGTACTGAAAAATTCTATATGCTTGCCATTTGGGAATTTTAAAGCTTAATTCTGGGGAAAAAAGAGTCAATTTTCAATTGAGACGGGGCCATTTTACTGGACCCGGATGCAATGGACATTATTAAGCCCTGGATTGTTTTGATTTCTTTTTTTGACAATATTATCAGGATCAATTTGTTAAATAATATTTTTGCATGAATGTTTAAGTTCAGAATATTAATATAATTGTAATTTTATAACAATGTGCTCTAAAAAGTTCTATAATAGCATAAAGAGAGTTAGGAATGAATAATAGAAAAGATATGGAGAAATTGTGGAATATTCAACTTCATCAAGTTGAATATATCAACACATATTTCTTTAATGTTGCTACTTTCAACCACTCTGTAATATTACCTGAAGAAAATGAGGGCATTCTGTAGGAATACAGCCACCCCTGGCCAGTCTGGGATTCCTATAATGAGGAATATACAGATAGTATAATTATCCTAACAAAACAAACAAAGAAAACAAGATGTGAAACACTGATGCCCTCATATGGCAGCTAATTGCAAAGGTTAATGTTTCTCAAATGCAATTCAAACTCCAAGGTCAAGAGATCAAAAATGTTGTTACTCAAAAAAGTACCTGTGTCAACTGATATACCTGTAAATACATGCATGAAAGCCCAAACACCAACCATTCAAAAGTTATGGTCAAGGTTAATATTTTCTATAAGTGAGTCAAACTCCAAGATCAAGGGGTAAAAATTAATGGTATGCAGGTGAAGACCTAATAATAAATACACATGCAAAATATAAATGCCCTAGCACCAACTATTCAAAACTTAGCACAAAGGTTAACATTTTTCAAAAGAAGGTCAAACTTTAAGGTCAAGGTGAAAAGGTCAAAATTATTGGTATCCCAAGAAAGGTCTTGTCACAAGAAATACACCTGTAAAATTTTAAAGTCCTAGTAGGGTGAGTTAACCATGCATCGGACACATAATCTTTGATTACGGGGGCATAAAAACTTCTGGCCAGTTTATAAACTTTATTCAAATTTGTCTAACATGTCTAATGGCAAGACATTACACTGTGACAAGATTATCATATAATGATTAATTGTTCCAACACATACATGAACAGAGCAACTATGACAGATTTTTTTTTTCAAATGACAGCTAAGGCTTTGTACAGACCTGGGTTATTCACTACATAGAACCCAAACAGGATCCAAGATGCTGCTATGAGGGCACCAAACCCCATCAGGAATCCAATAAAAAGCCATATCCTGGCTGCAGTCTGACCCAGGCAGCCATCTGTGTAGTTATCTCCCCTTATCTGACCATTGGATACAGAATTTATGCTGGAAAATAATTACACTTAAGAAAATGAGATTACAATTTATTTTCATATTTTTTTTAATTACCCCATTTAAAGTCCCTGATTAACAATTTTTTTCCCTTCTTTCATAGAGATTACATTTATTTAATTAATTAAATTAATTAACTCTTTGAAAGCTGGTGGTAGTGATTGTTACATTTATTGAGGAGACAAAATTGACGTAATACATTCTCTATGTTGTCACTTACAAGAAAAACGCTAACGTCCCAAACACACCGCATGTGTGAAAAGCATGGTTGAAGTCTTTCTGATCTGGGTAGTTGGCTGCAGCGTCTATAACAATCCACCATCCAGTAAAGAACTGCAGAATAATAAACAACATAGGTGATGTTAATTCGGTGTGTATGTCTTATAACTCCATCCACTTTTTAAAATGAACAGTAAATTTTTTGGCACATGAATTTTGAATTTTCTTCTTTATATTTTCAAGTTGGTTGCAGTCAATAAAAAAATTTCAAAGTTGAGAAGGGTTAATAATCTTTTACCAATTATTTATATGACTGCCAATGAAAAACCACTGGATCAAAAAAGGGAAATACATGTTACTAATCATGCTAATGGAAAACTTAAATAAAACAACCTTCATAGACAATGTGGACACTTGGAGATTGATTTAATAGTCTATGCATGTATAGCAGGGGAGATTAGCAATGACTAACATTTTGCTATTAGGTTTAACACCATTGAAGAAACTGCACCTTTACCACAGGGTTATTAGTAACTATTTTTGAGTCTTGATGACTCCATTCCATCAAAACTGAGGATTGTTTAGTCTTGATGATATTAGTTAACCTACTACCTTAATACATCTAGGGTGAGTTCACCATACATCGGACACATACCTCCCTTCGGACAACTTTTAAGCAATCCAACCTGAAAGTCTCCCTGTTTTGACTTGTTTCTCTCTTACAGCCGAAGATTTTAAGTTTAATATAACGATGCCTATTTTATTTTCATGTTGTGATATAAAAAAAACCATGATAATGGCCTTGAAGTGACGTCATATTTGACATAATCAAAAGGGAATAACCAGAGATTTTGATTTTTAAATTTTTTAGAGTTGTCACTCTTTCATTAGACTTCAACGGAGCGAGTCAGACTCGGGTGTATTTTGTTAATAATTGATAATTTTATAGAAAATTTCAAGAAATGTCATTTAACAGTTTGTATTAATTTTCTCAGAGTTGTTTTTTTTACTAATACGTTCATTTCACCATGCATCGGACACAAATTAACCAGGTGCATTGGACGGATAATTACTTTACTGTATAGAGATACATGCATAATACCAAACCTGACGACAGTTTTTGAAGAAATAAAAAAAATGTAAACTCAACATATTCAGTTAAAATACAAGTTATCAATACATGTATATGACAACTAGAAGGGGGCTCTCTTGTACTTCTTCGAACTATAAGATCTATGATCCCCGAAACCAAGGGGCTAGTTGCCGTATTACAAAGCACTGCAAGGCCTATCTAAGGCGATGTGCAACTAACATCTCTTCACATTTATGGATCGATAAAGTCAATCAAATTAAACTAGAAACTTAATTTTTAAATAAAAGATAAAAATATTTTCATTTTTTTTTTTATTCAAAAGCACCAAGATAAAGGTATGACATTTTTACGGTTCAAAATACCGTTTGTCAGATGCATGATGAATATCATTTGATCCATGGTGAATTCTGACGCATTTTTAAAAAAAATCGATTTCTAATGATATTTTCTCAATAAATAGCACGCAAATGTGTCACAAGTTGATATTTTGATCACATACTTCATGTTAAGTTCCATCTTGATAATATTTGGTTGGTAGCGATATCGCTAGAACTTGTTGAAGTAGAGGGTGTCCGATGCATGGTGAACTCACCCTAATACATATTTAGCTCCATTTGGATAATATTCGGTCGGTAGCAATATCGCTAGTATTTCTTTAAATACCAGGGTATCCAAATTGGCAATGCAGGGTGAACTCACACTATATATACTAAGAGTACTCAGTCGCTGCATGGGAGTTTTATCCATAAAATCACATAAACAACAACCAGTAAGCTTTGCGAGTGCTCGCTATGCTCATGAGGCTCACTGGTTGTTGTTTACGTTGCTTTATGGATAAAACTGCTGACTCCTGTGGTTGCTGTAATATTCAATTTGTTTATTTACCAATTACCAATTAAGGCCAGCACAATCTCTTGATTAAGATATAGCTTTAAATAGCTATATAGCTTTATTAAGCTATTCAAAAATGGTTTTTGTAAGAAATAGAAGTATTTGACTATTTATATATGTACTATTGTCAATAAAAAAAGCAACCCAAATGAAAGATAGTTTTATAACATTGCTGCTTTCAAGCAAAATATGAATTTCCATTGTTTGAGTAACTGTACACTACCTTGTGTGCGCTGAGGTGTGGATAAGCATGATTGCTTCTTGTTGTGCTGAATTATAACCAATCAATTATGTTGTGGACAATAACTGACCTCCTTTATAATTTCATTCAAGAAGTAACTGTATGGTCACTAATCAATAGCCCCAAAACTTTTAGAATTTTGAGTACAGTCTCTCAAGGAGATGCAATTTGGTGAGTGATTTTTACATGCATTGTATTCAGAGGAGTTCAAAGTTGTACATTATCATTACACCGAGGTGCGACTTTTTTTTTATACATGCTGAAAAAATAACACATTTGAGAAAAAAGTGTGACAAGCTATTTAATAAAGCTATATAGCCAAATCAAGCTATATGGCTAAATCAAGAGATTGTGCTGGACCTGCTCATGGGGAAAAAAGAAAGTACATTATAAACACCTGTATATTTCCATATAAATGTAATACAATATACATACATACAAGAGGGAAAGGGTTGCATGATTGATAGGAAAGACATAAAAAGGAGGAATGAACCAGATATTTTTTGTATATATAAATGAATAATAACTTGCGTGAAACGTAGCTACATTGTGTATACTCACAAGAATGCCTGAGATAATGGAGACGACTGCATTCCTACGTTCTCCAAGCTCTATACAATCACAGCGACAGTGACAGTTATCCAGAAATCCGGACATCTTGTGATGACGAATAGCCACACGATGATTTTTCACATTAGGTAATTCGCAATACTAATGAAAAACCAGTTTGATGTCAAAATAATCAACTTCTCTTAACCTGGCGTATCTTTTCTGCATAAAAATTCTGAAACACCAACAAATTCAATATTTTACAAGAAGTCGGTGAAACTGAAATGAAAACAAATAAAAATGTCTGAAATATCCGGTTAGATGGACCGAAAGGGACCAACCGTTTATTTCCGGAATATTTTTCTCGGAGTTGTCGTTCCGTGCATGTTACTGAGAGATGTTTTCGAGCACTTCGTTAAAACATTCTAAATCAAATAAGAAAACGTGTTAATAATATATTTTAAAATGAATTTAATGTTTTATTTCTTTGGTATAATGTCGATAATGCCCTTTGCCCTTTACTTAATGTACAAGATTTTTTTTTTTAGATCAGGAAAATATGCAGTTTTTTTTATGTATTGGAAGTCCATTCGGATATGAAACGCAAAGACCAAATCATAAATATCATATTGTCTGTCACAGGCGAAAAAAGGCAAAATATAAATAATGGTTTGAGAGGAGGGACAGAGATTTTCATAACATATGTCACTAGGTTAAAAACTAGCTACATAACAGCATTAAACTGTTAAAAATAATCAGTAATCTGCGGCGATCCTTTTTTTCCAAATTTTCATTCTTAGTAGGTCATAGGTGTAGTCACAGGGGGCAGCGGGGCACTAGCCCCCCCCCCCACTTTCAGATATGTGGAGGGGGGGGGGGGGCAAGAGTATGTCTGTGCCCCCCCCCCTCCTTAATGTAGAACAAAATCACAGCTATGTTGAAATTATAGTAAACCTCATTTTATGGCAAATTTATTTTGATTATTTTATTTTCAGCAACAACTGAGTAAGCATTTCTCTTGAAGTAGTAGTAATGTAATATACTTTATACGTGCCCTCCAATAATAATAATAATAATTATTATTATTATTATTATTTCATATATATATATATATCATAGTGCCCCCTCAATAATAACGTCTGATGACCTTTTTTTTTTTTTCTTCTTTTTTTGCTTGTCAAGGAATTTTGGTAATTGATAGTGCCCCCCAACTGAAAATATATAGTGTGCCCAGTCAAAGTGAAATTGGTTCCTACAGGCCTGTTAATTTCTTTATATTACACGTTTTAGATCTTTCTTGGATTTGAGCCCCCCCCCCCCCCACTTTTAAGTTTGTGACTACGCCTCTGTAGGTTAATGGCTGGACGGGGTATTCAGCTATCCAGGCCGATATTCACTGTCCATATGTTCCAAACCACAACATTTCCCCCACCTTAAATTATTTTCGACCTCGACAAAGACAAAAACAATCCAGATATTCTTCAGTTTAAAGGACTTTCACCTCAAATTACATGTATGTTCCACAGAGGAAGAATTTGATTATAATGGGGGATCAAAATTTTACATGGGAAGATATACATAAAAAATGTGATATTTTGGAAAATTATATAATAATAATGGCAAAAAAATTCTTGACCTTGTACACCATCAGAAGATCTAATAAATTTATCATGTATTCACTATACCAAAAGTTTGAACACATCTAAAAACTTTTTTTTTTTAATTATGCCATCGGTACGTAGCGGTATGATTATGCATTTAAATAAATATCAATCTATTTATTTATTTATTTTTTTGTACATGTATATAATATAAAAGATAATAAGAACGAGTTGAGTGGATATGAAACAAATATCTTTTGTTCAAAATTATTAATAATTGTTTTTCGGACTTTTAAGGACCCTCTATACACTAAAGGATTTTTTTAGACATTAAGAAAATTATAGTGAAGGTGTATATACTGGACTCATACATATATATTTTATATTTTCAAGATGGGGTAGCTCGCATTTACCTCCAGGAAAACTGTCCAAAGGCAATGAAGTACCGATGAACAGAAATCGCTGTTGTTGAATTAAGTGGGCAAAATATATGCAAATGAATAGTCAATAATTTATCTTAACCTATTTAAGGATAATGAATGCTTTATTTGATCCCAAATTCAGGTGTAATATCCCTCTGATAAGGTAGATAACTTTCCAGGGATATTCTTCAAAGCAATCCCATGAACGGTCAAACCAGAGTTTATTAATGAGGACCATTTAATTTTATAGTCAATTCATGCCAATTCAAACTGTGTTACAAATATCGATTTATATTTTCTATTGCCATTTTTTTTTAATTACTTATTATAGTTTACCTAAAACATTGCTCATTTCCTGTAAACTGTAAAAATTGAGATATTTCTATCTCTTGACATATAATTCTTTTAATTGTTACAGAAATTTTAGATGCAGAATTTTTATAATCAAATATTTAATATTTTTTCACTAAAAAATATTGTGAACAACGATAACTCCTGTAGATAAAAAGATAACTCTTGTAGATGGATGCATTTTTATTTACAAGCACAGAAAACAATGTGATATTTTGATTTAAAAAGCATCGCTTCAGTATGTTTTCTAATTGTGAATTAGATAGGTTTGATAGTAGATATTATTTTAATACATACCTCATATTTTTATAGTGAGACAAAAATTATTGATCTTTCTATTCACCATATAAAATTTTCTTTACATCATGATCAGACATGATATTCATTTCTGAAAAAAGTTAGCAACGCTTCATACTTCAAAATTTTTTCTATGTGAATCTAATTCTGTTGTTGTTGATGAAAATCAACGTTGGGAATTTAAAAAAAATGGTGAGATTTGGAGCAGTGGGATATTTAACCTTAAGTAATAAACTGTACATTTCAGTTTATTTTATTCTAGATCAAGAGGCAGATTACCCTATCTGCATAAACACCACAAAATCAGAACTCTTTAGTGTGCAGTGTATAGAGGGCTAGGGCTTTTAATTCATTATGGAATATATCGTATACATATCACAAAAACAAGATAAATAAAAAAGGGCTAAAACTCTCTCTCTCTCTCTCTCTCTCTCTCTATGTTGGCGGGGGTGGGGGGTGGGGGTGTACGCACATACTCACCTATACAGCAGTTATTATATCCCTATACTACGTTTTCTAAGAGGATAAATATAATAAATCAGTCTCAATAAGAAAACAAACTACATGTATATTCTGATGTTCATACATTTATTACTTGACCTGGAATATAATCGATATCATTACATAAAAATCTTTTCAAACAATATAAAAACACTCCAAACTCTGAATGTATTTTTTGATCACGTTGATAACCCCTTTTCCTGTCTGCTAACACAGTCAGAGAAAATGCAGCAAAGCAGAACATTGTCATAATCACTAAAGTCGATAAAGCAAATGTGTCCCACACACTCACAAATGTATTTTCAAAGCTGAATTTGTCGAGGACATTCTTACGCCGACAGAAATCATTAAATGTAGCGTACACGTACACAGTCATCATAGCAAATAATAGTAGATCACACTGAGGGCAACCCTGCCTAAAGCCATTTTTTTTGTAAAAGTCATTTCTTGGAATATTGGAAATGTATACCAATACAGTCAAAATACACAGGGAAATAAGAATCACATTGACACAATATTCTACATATGAATCATTGAAACAAATTTTGTGAATCAGCGGAGCATTTGCAAGAGCATATAGAAATATTAAACACACAGCCTCTAGCCAGGATGTATATTGAAATATCGAACTGAACGCAGTGATACAATAAAATACAGTCGCTAACTTCGCTGCCATAACTTTAACTGTTGTTTGCACACAAATATCACTGAAATATCCGGACCGGTCATAATGGTAGTTTGTTAGCGTCATAGCCAATCCTGCAAGTCCCAGGCACATGGAGTCAAACTGTCTGAGGATGAATGCCGTTGATTTCTTAGATATGGAGGCAAATGAATAGCTAATCAGCTTTCCCATGAAAATAAATATAACTAAAGTCACAGTCACTGAAAAGTTCCACATGTATTTTTTGGAATAAAAGGCATCCAATACAATTCCAGAAAAATACAGATAAAAAGCTAAAACAAGTCCGAAAATAGCACAAGCGACACAAACACATTGTCCTAGAAATTCTCCTATGGGACGTTGCGTTCTTTTCACTGTTGATCCCAAAGTTGTCCAAGGCATATTGTAATCTAGAAAGAGAAAATTATCTCAAAGTAATAAACACTATGTATCGTTGTGGGTAGGCAGAAATAAACGAGGAAGGTCGAAAAACTGGGTTCATCCTTAGCTGTTGCATTTATTATATAAGGTGTCGTCTACCCGTATAACAGTCCGCGCTCCATGCCCCAAGGATACCGCTATCGTATCTTAATATTCATTAATAATAATAAGTTAACATGTGTCATTTACTAAGTGAAGAATTTTATCAAACTTAGATTGAATACACAGCATTTAACTATACTTTTTATACATAAAACTAATATTTATTGTTATGCCCGAAAAAATACCCTAGCCATATATGACAGGAAAGGTATTTCAACTGGTTCCTTGATTGTGAAGTGTTTTTAAAAATAAGGCATCATTTAAAACATTTATCGGAATATAAATACGGGTTGCCGGGGTTGGTCACTTGATCAAATCCTAGAAAGCCCGAATTGCATTTTGGTAGACCATACCGTATTTATATCCCGATGTAAATGTTTAAAAAGATACCTTATTACACTGTACTTAAATTGACATTTGTTATGGTTCTAAATCCATGAAATGATATATTTTTTTCAAACCTCAACGGACCGTTCACGGTAGCCTAGTGGTAGGGTGTTCGCTTCGTGATCGGGAGGCCCGGGTTTGATTCTCGTTCGTCGAACCTGAGAAGTACACGTATAGGTAAAACTGCAGATCTATAGCTCGCTGGTCTGAAAAAAAGTGAGATGGACGACCAGAGGTTAGTGCTAGGGCTTTCACACTTCACATGTGTATTTCATGTGATAAGACCTTCCTTTGGATACCAACAACTTAGACCCCTTGACATTGACTTTGGAGTTTGTCCTCCTTTTGAAACACTTTAACCTTGACCATAAGTTTTGAACAGTTGGCGCTAGGGCTTTTATATATTTGTCTATTCCTTGTAACAAGACCTTCCTTTGGATACCAACAGCTGTAATCCATTGACCTTGGAGTTTTACCTACTTTTTAAAAACTTTAATCTTGGCAATAACTTTTGAACGATTGGTGCTACGGCTTTCATATTTCACATGTGTAATTCATGTGCGAAGGTCTTTCCTTGGGCACCATTAATTTTGACCTTGATGTTTGACTTACTTTTGAAAAAACTTTTAACCTTTTCCATATTTATTCAATGGTTGCTGCTAGGGCTTTCATTTTTCACAGATATATTCCTCGAGACAAGACCTTACTTTGGGTACCAATATATTTGATTTGCATTTGAGAAAGTTTAACCTTTGCTATAAGTTGCCATACATTACGGGGGCATCAGTGTTTCACAAACACATCTTGTTTTAGTTAGTTTCACATCAACTAATGTTATTAGGCCTCCTGGGCCTGGAATTGAGACCATCTAACGTCTAGCCTATTTTTGGGGGCATTTTGGGTGGCATATGACAATTCGGTCTGGACAACGCGCTTCGTTCAGATCTATGTCAATCACACGAGTAGTTGATAGAGGTATAACGATTTTTTTTTAATCGATCTTTTGAGCAGTTGAGATAAGAATTTGGAGAAATAAATAAAGAGCCGAGTGCAACTTTTTGTGTGCAATAACATACAGTTTTTTTTAAATAAAGGGTTTCTTTTCTTTCCTTTCTTTATTTCCTTAAGCTAACTGACTCATCAGAGTAATAAGTACCGGGAGTACATGTTATTAAGAAAAAAAAATCATACAGTGAAAGTGAACGTAAAAATACATGCATGAAAATAGTGTTATATATCAATATTATTTTTTCTTAACAATGTGGTAGTATTCAAAAATTTCCCCAAAGGAGATGGGCGAACATAGCATGCAGAAAGCCTATAGCTTCAGATATATAAAAATCATGTTCAATTTGTGAATTCAGTATTTAAAGTTCTCAATATTGAAATTTATGAAATTATGTAAACAAAACTTTTCTGAAGAAAATTTTCTCGGCAAAATTTATTCTTTTATTAAAAAAATAATTTTGTATTCGTGGGGTTCGAACCCTAAAAATAAAAATCCTGAGTATCATTTTCTTCCGGGACCAGCACGATAACCACTAGACTACACAAGTCCTGATGAATAGATGCAAATAGATTTAAATCATGTTTGTGATATGACCCTTGACTTAATGGACTTCAAGTATTTCTCGAAAAGATGCGAATGATATATCATAAAAGTATATTTTTAAGGTATAGTGGGTCTTTGCTCCATATTTTTGAAAACCAAAAAAATGTATATTTTTATGCAAACTTCGAGGATTAACTTTCAAAAAAATGGAGCGAAGACCTCAACTGCCCCCAAAATAGTGTTTTAGTATGAGAAAATGACTTTTTTGCCCTCTTTAGTGTGTGAACAATATTTCATAAGCAAATAATTTCAATTTTTGCAAATTGTAGAGATTTTACCTAAAGTATATTTTAATGTTAGATGAAACATCAAAGAAAATTTTGTTGTAATTGAGATTTAATTTTTCACCTTCATGTTTGTCACACTATAGGCTTTTCGCTCGTCATGTTCACCCATCCTCTTTAAAAGATCTCTAACATTATTAGTACTTAGTGATCGAATTACATGTACTCAGTAATTTAAAGACACTAGGATTAGTATCATAACACTTAAAAAAACTCTCTTAGGTCATTCTGGCACTGTAGCTCTCCGGTCTGTATTTTTCGGATAGCTACATTTCTGAAGTAAAGTTTGACGTCAGTCGATTTCAATGACATTCTTAACAGTCCAGATCAGTGTTTTGTCGATTAACTTCTTCCATCCCTCCCGGATTGCCTTTTGGCTAACGTCTAACAGTCTTAAATTCTTTTTTACATTTTGTAGAGATGTGTCAGATATTCCGCTGGTTTACAACATGTTTCATTAGGATTATTTTGGGTCTCTATTGGCGTTTTCCCAGAATGATTCATGATTTGATAAAAGTGCGCTGCTCCGTCAAATCACGAGACTTCATTTTTGCAGTTGATTTCGTAGAGGTCACATCAGAGAAAAATTACAATACTTCTGTTAGTACTTCAAATACTACGCCAGAAATCTACATACTTAATAATAAAACAATAAAAAGAAATTCTAGAGAAAATTGTTGAATAATATCGTGAAATATGGAAAATAAATGAATAAAATTTTGGATACCGCATGTTTGTTTTTCAACATTTTGCCGTGCTCCGTATATCACCATCAGCAGTATCAAAACGGCAATAATTTTATGATGTATTAAATAAAATCAAAAAATTTTACCAAGAATTTATTGGAATTTAAAAGAAATATGTTCCTGTGAAATTTCAATTTTATATGACGTCTGTAAGAGTAAATAATAGCAGAGTCCGCGTAATTTTTGAACGGCCCTCGTATAACATACTAGGTAGTGACTGTTTCTTCGCCAAGCGCCCGGCATTAGAAGGGAAAGTCACGGGTCTTTCGGATATGAGACCTTAAAACCGAGGTCCCTTGTCACATTGGCAAGATAAAGAAACCTTCTGCTCAATGGCCCTGAGTGCCGAGTATAGGTCTAAATTTGAAGCCCTTCACCGATATATGGTGACGTCTCAATTAGCTGCAATAATGTAGCCCTCTCCGATTTTTTTTTGGGGGGGGGGGGAGGAGCCCTCTCCTGAAAATATCAGATTAAAAAAAAATCGGAGAGGGCTACATTATTGCAGCTACGTCTCAATATGAGTGAAAAATTCTCGAGTGGGACGTAAAACAACATACAATTAATCAGATTTCTTGACCTTGGAGTTTGACTCACTTTTGCAAAATTTTAACAGACTTTAACCTAGCTTGGCCATAACTTTGAATAGTTAAAGCTAGGGCTTTTAAACTTCACATGTGTATACCTTGTGACAAGACCTTCCTTCGGATACCAACAACTTTGACCGTTTGACCTTGACCTTGGAGTTTGATCTACGTTTGAAAAAACCGTTAACCTTGGCCATAACTTTTGAACAGTTGGTGCAAGGGCTATTTCTTGTGACAAGACCTTCCTTTGGATATCAACAACATTGACCCTTGACCTTCACTTTGGATTTTACCTACTTTTGAAACTTTAACCTTGGTCATAACTTTTGAACAATTGGTGCTAGGGCTTTCATACTTCACATGTGTATTCCTTATGACAAGATTTTGGATACCAACAATTTTAGCCCATTGACCTTGACCTTGGAGTTTCACATTCTTTAAAATATCTTTAACCTTGGCCATAACATTTGAACATTGGGTTCTAGGGCTTTCATATTTCACGTACATGTGGATCACTTGTGACAAGGCCCTTCCCTTGGGGCCCATTTGACCTTGACCTTGATGTTTTACTTACTTTTGAAAAAAATTAACTTCGCCATAATTATCAACGGTTGGTGTTAGGACTTTCAAATTTCACAGGTATGTTCCGCTACACAAGACCTTTCTGCGGGTACCAACATCTTTTATCTTTTGTCCTGGAGTTTGGCTTGCATTTGAAAAACATAAACCTTCGCCTTAAGCTGTCATACAGGGGCATCAGTGTTTCACAATCATATCTTGTTGTTTTGTTTAAGAAATAAGTATCATTTTATATATACCTTTAATAGTCCAAATTCCAGACAGTCGGCGAAAATGTCATGGGTCTGGACACAAGAGGCTGTAAAAAAAGGTAAGGAAAAATTTAAAATCTTTTATCTCCCTTTCTTTCTTTTATTACGTATGTATCTATTCAAAACATACACTCATGTTTTATTTATCAGAATATTTCTTTAGAGAAATATGTCCCATATTTAATCAAATCCAGCGCATGAGCATATGCATTCAACATTAAACACCGTTTTTCATGTCTTCAAAAATTTGTGAAAATCTAAGAAAATGAGAAAAGAAAGAAGAAGAAAAGAATGACACCGATGGAATTGATCAGTACGTTAATTTCAAATTAGGATGACGAGTAAAATAGGGAATTCGTTCTTTCTGACATTCTTTTTTCAATGTGACAAATAAAAATCTGCAGCATGAGTTTGC